TGGGAGATGCGGGGGGGGGGGCAGGGGGAGCCCCAGAACAGGAGATCTGGTGTATGGAAGCTGCTAATTTCTGGTCCAAGAAGCCAGGAAGATGTCTGGCAGGGCCTACTCCAGGGAACAGCATCCTTTGTGAAAATAGGTAGCCCCCCTGGGATCAGGTCCAAGTTCTGGAGCAGGCAATATTCCACAGATTTTATTATGATCACACAATATTGGCAGCTGCAACTTTTAATTAAAACAAGGGGTGGCAGTTTCATGCATGGTATTCCCCTGACAACCCAAAGGTTTCATGTTTGTTAAGTTGAGACCCCATGGTTTCCAATCCTTTCCCCCTCTCAACATCATAACTACCCAGTACAGCCAGGGTGCTGCCCTACTCTGTGTTAATTGAGAAAAATGTTCCAAGTCCCAGAGTGTGTAACATTGCAGTTTTTGTTTAATAAATACACTAAAAGTTTCTCAGTTTCAACATTTGATTAAAACATAGGCCACATCCACCCATGGGCATGCACCAGGCCTCCAGGGGAAAGGAGAGGAGAAGGGGGATGGTGCCCAGCCTGCCTGGGTTGTGGGGAGCTGTACCTATGACACAGGACCAGAGGAGATGAGGCCTGATGCTAGGGCAGGGGCACTCATAGATTTCATAGACATTAGGGCTGGAAGAGATCATCAGGTCCAACCCCCTGCCCAGAGGGCAGAAATTAGCTAGGGTCAAAGGATCCCAGCAAGATAAAGGGTCCAGAGTAGGTGCTTGCACCACCTCTTGGGGGAGTCTATTCCAGGCCTTGGGGGCTTGGACAGTAAAGAAGTTTTTCCTTATGTTCAGCCTAAAATGGTCTTGCAGTAGTTTGTGACTGTTGGATCTTGTCATCCCTTGGGGTGCTCTGGTGAACAGTCATTCCCTCAGATCCTGATGCATACCTCTTATGTACTTTTAGGCTGCCACCAAGTCACCCCTGAGCCTGTGTTTCTCCAGGCTGAAGAGTCCCATGGCTCTAAGCTTCTCTTCATAAGGCCTGTTCTCTTGCCTTCTGATCATGTGCATGGCTCTCCTCTGGACTTTTTCATGCTTCTCCACATCCTTCTTGAATTGTGGAGCCTGGCATTGGATGCAGGGATGCAGTATTCCATCTATGGCCACATCAAGGCCGAGTACAGTGGGAGGATAACATCCTGGGTCTTGTTTGAGATGCATCAGTAGATGCAAGCCAAAGTTTTGTTTGCTTTACTGGCTGCAGGATCACATTGGTGACTCATGTTCATCTTGTGGTCAATCATGACACCCAAGTCTTTTTTGGTCATGGTGCTTGCAAGTGTAGCAATGCTGAGCCTATAAGTGTGATGTTGGTCCTCCCTCCCCCCAGGGTGGAGCACCTTGCATTACTCCATAGTGAATGCTATCAGGTTTTCATCCATCCACCTTGCAAGCCTACCGAAATCGGCCTGGATCACCAATCTGTCCTGAAGTATGGACACTCTTCCCCAAATTTAGGTGTCATAAGCGAACTTAGCCAGTCCACTTCTGATGCCAGAGTCCAGATCATCTATAACGACTTTAAAGAGTATAGGTCTGAGAACAGAGTCTTGGGGACACCACAGGTTACTGAGTGCCATGTTGATTCAGTTCTTTCAACTGCCACTCTTTGGGCCTGACCACAGAGCCAGTTCCCCAGCCATCAGACTGTAGTATACTCAAGGCCATAGTTGCCCAATTTTTTGATGAGCACATCATGAGACACCAGGTCAAAGGCTTTTTTAAAGCCCAAATATATGATATGTCACCTGGTCATAGAAGGAAATGAGACTGGTCAGGCAAGACCTGCCTGTAACAAACCTATGCTGACTCTCTCTCAGAATGTTGCCTTCTGTTAGCCTGTTGAGAATGGTTTCTTTGATAATTTTTTCCAAGATCTTTCCAGGGATTGAGGTCAAACTGACTGGCCTGTAGTTTCCCAGATCTTCTTTCCTCCCTTTCTTGAAAATAGGTGCCACATTGGCCCTCTTCCAATCTTCAGGTACTTTGCCCAAGCACCACAAGTTCTCAAATATCCTACTGCAGCTGGAGTACTGTGTCCAGTTCTGGGCACCCCACTTCAAGAGGGATGTGGACAACATTGAGAGGGTCCAGAGGAGGGCCACCCACATGATCCGGGGACAGCAGGGCAGACCCTACAATGAGAGGCTACGGGACCTGAACCTGTTCAGTCTTCACAAGAGAAGGCTGAGGGGGGGGACCTTGTGACCATCTATAAAACTCAGTAGGGGGGACCAGAAGGGGTTGGGGGAGACCTTGTTTCCCCTAGTGCCCCCTGGGATAACAAGGAACAACAGCCACAAGTTGTTGGAGAGTAGGTTTAGATTAGACATCCATAGGAACTATTTCACAGTCAGGGCAGCTAGGATCTGGAACCAACTTCCAAGGGAAGTGGTGCTGGCTCCTACCCTGGGGCTCTTTAAGAAGCGGCTTGATGCCTAACTGGCTAGGGTCATTTGAACCCAGTTTTCTTCCTGCCCAGGCAGGGGATCAGACCTGAAGATCTGCAAGGTCCCTTCCGACCCTACTTCTATGATAGACATCTGGGACACACACACACACACACACACACACACACACACACACACACACACCCCCAGCATCTGAGGCATGAACAGATGCACAGAACCCAAGTGTCTGGGACATGTAGGAGTATACATGCACATCCACACATGGTCAGCCAGGCAAAGCTAGCAGTTGGCTGCTTGCAGCTAAGGGAGCAACACCATCCAGCTCCCTTGCAGCGTGGAACATCCTGGAGGTAAGGGCAGGAGCTAGGGGGATGCCTTGGAGGCTCCTGGTTCTGGGCATGATCTAAAACTGCACCCTGCTGGGGAAGGCAGGCCTGGTGGGACTGCCGGTGGCACAGTAGCCCCATTCAAATACCAGGACTGCTCACCTCCCTGGTAAAAGGTGGGTCGAGGTGCTTTAACCCGAGCCCCCACAACACCAGGGGTAAGAGGGACAAGCACGGCTATAGCCACCTGAGCCCCAGGGGGCATGAGACCCCAGGAAGTGAGCAGGGCCAGGCATGGCTGCAGCCACCTGAGCCTGCAGGGGTGAAAGACTTCAGAGGCCCGAGGGAGGGGATAGTGGTGTAGCCCCAGAGAGGGAGGCAGGTATGGAGCCCTAGAGAGAGGGCAGTAGTGAAGGCCCTGACAGGGGTTGAATAGAGCTGAGGGTTGGCATGAAGGGCAGTCCCAGGGGGTGTGCCGAGTAGGGCTGTGGGACAGGCACATGGGCCACCCCCCATAAGATCAAGTTGTTATGTGTGAGAAGCCCGGTGAGGGGCTAGAGAGGAGCTAGCCCTCTGTTCAGTGAATTGACTGGCCACTACCCAGGTAAGATTCATGGAAGACGCCCAAGAGACTGTACATTGCCAGCTGAGGCATGACTCAGATACGCCTGATAGCCTACAGAGCCATTCAAGGGAGCAGGGCAGAGTGAAGGGGGCACAGCATCATGCAGCAAGCAAGAGACCCTGTGAGAGGGTGGAGTGCAAGAGGCCCCAATGAGAGGGGGGCTGTATGAGCATATGAGTGAACGAAGGACTAAATTGGCCCAGCCTAAATTGGTCAGGAGTGTAGTAACATACTGGATGCCATCTGCAAGGCATGGGCCATGGTGTAGGGATGGTATGGAGCCGTGGATAGTGCCCTCTGACATCAGGGCATAGAATGGGCAGCCTCCCACTTTATACCACCAGTTATGGGAACAGGAAAGTTGTAGCAGGCAAGACTTGACACTCAGCCCTGAGCTTGCCCCATCACACTTATCAATAAAAATCATTTTAGGTTTTCTTTTCAAAGTATTATCTTTGAGTGTGGTGGTCAAAATATTTCATTTTCTAAATTCAGAGTTATGCCAAAATCTGCACATTAGAAGCATCACAGGCCAAAAATAGGCTAGATTCATTAGTTAATCAGGCTGAATGTTTGACACACATTTTAATTTTAAAAAACGCACATGAGATACTTCACTATGTTATAGTTCCTCCCAAGGTAATTTGCTATGATGCTAAAAATGGTTTCAGAATGAGAGCATGAGATGTTATTTTGTGATAAAATTAATAGCATATAAATTATGGATAGCAAAATAAGCAAGGATAACACTAATTTATGTAAATATGTACTGTACAAAACAAAGAAATATTCATTTCTGAGCACCATGTAATAAGATTAAAAATATTACTGATTAAAGAAAAATAGCATTTCAGGTTTCAGTTGCAGGAAGTTTCCAACATGAAATAGAATTTTGCTAAATTCAAAACATAAATAAAGAAAATTAAAGAATTAATTAGAAACAACATGCTATATTCCTGATCGCAGCTAAGAATACAAATAAGATAAGATAAAAAGGAATTTTAGATCAGGTATTGTCTATCACCTACCTCATCTGCCTGTGTGATCACAACTTCTGGGATGCAGCTCCTTCTGTTTTCATCTTTTTTTATCTGCATGCTGAGTTTCTTCTGTTCCTCCATGAACTGATAGATCCGAAGAACCACAGTCTAGCTCTTTACCAACACTTCCTCATCTTCTGGAAAGTCAATGCTGACTGAAGTCTCAGTCTTCTACAAAGGCTGACAGGGACTCTTTGTTAGCACCATATGCACTGTCAGAGGTTACCTGAGCCTCGTCAAAGGTCTGGTGTCTTAGGATGAC